CTTATCCTCTTGATCCTCACACACAGGGCTGAGAACCTGCCACACAGAATCCCAGCTCTGAACCCATGGGTGGCTAAATGCTCTAACCAGGTTTGGGGTCACTCGGACATTGGCACAGCCCTGTTTGTGTTGTGAGGTAGCCAAGGAAACTCCAAAATTGGTTCACACTGACTGGAGCTCCCTAATCATTGAAACACTGTGGGTTTTTCTCCTTTCCTTCAAGTGACTTTACCGTGTTCCTGCTTTCAAGGCCTTGTATTTTGAGAGGGGAAAACGTGGATCTGGGAAAGATTCCCCAGGGCACAGAGGAGAAAGGCAAACGTTGCTCAGCAGCACCACAGAATAATGAGCTATTGTGAAAGCTGAATCTCTGGTTTGGAAACACCTGGAGCACAGGGTCCCTTACAGGCTTTCTGCAAGAACCTCATGCTCCTCAATGCCTTCCGTTGTTTTTTCCCTGTGTGTTTTACTGAAATAAAATGCTAGACTGGTTTGGGTTGGGAGGGACATTAAAAATCAACTAGTTCCACCTCCCTGCCATGGGCAGGGACACCTTCCACTAGACCAGGTTGCTCCAAGCCTCATCCAGCAAGGCCTTGAACACCTCCAGGGATGGGGAAAATCCCAGTGCTTTAATCAGGAACATATTCTCTGACATTCCCTGAGCAGAACTTCCCAAAGGGACAGGTAGGAAGACACTAAGCTCTGGCACTGGCTGGTGACACCAGCACAAATCCAGTGCAGTGGGAGGACTGAGATCCCTGGAGCACTGCTGTGCTGCTCTCTGCTGTGTCCTGTGGACACTGGAGGAAGGAGCAGGGGCCCAGCACACTCACGGTGGCCTCTCCGCCCTGGCTGCTGCTGAGGCAGTACCGCCCGTCCTGGCTCACGTCACAGCACGTCTGGATGTGCTGCTTGGCTGGGAACGTGTGTGCCACCTGCAGCTCCCGGCTGTCCCAGATCCTGGGGGAACAGGAGCGGGGAAGGGCACTCTGAGGCATCATCTCCACGATGGGCTTCCCTCGGTGCCCTCCCACTCTGCCCTTCTGCCATCCCTCGTGGGGCAGCCCCCTCCTGCCTCCCAGATCCACCCCTGCAGTTATCCATCCTGGATCACTCTCCAGCCAGAGCAGCCGAGCTGAGCTTTCTGTCCCACAAACTCTCCTTTTCCCCTGCAGTCACCACCCAGTGCTGCTCACAGCCCCTGTGCCCCTGGCTCTCCTCCCCTGACACTGTGCTCCAAGGCCCAGCTGAGCTGGAAAGTGGCTTCTGGCCACACCAGCAGCTGGTCATGACAACGACCAAAGAACAGCCCCTTGTGCACTGGCAACTTCCCTACACCCCACCTGCCCCAGGCTGACACTCCCTTCTCTGTGGCCACACGTGGGACTTACCTGGTTGTTTTATCCTCCGAGGTCTGGATGACATAAGGCTCCCCAGGAACCCAGCACAGGTGTGTGACCTGTGGACAGGGAAGGATGAGCAGGAGCCACCTCTGTGTGCAGCCCAGGCTGTGTCTGCTGTGGATGCTCCCACCCTCTCCCTCCTCGTGCTGGGTTGGGAGCTGGAAACGTTGGATGAAGGTGTTTCCTGCTCCCTTCCTGGGCCCAGTCCCTGGGCATGTTTCAGGCAGGGAGGTGCCAGCAGCTCACCAGGACACAGAGCCCTGGGAACAGGGATACCACGGGCACCAGGGGATGGTGTCCACACCAGCTCCACTGCTGGGCTGGTACAGGAGGGAATGCAGAGTGTGGGAGCTGGGGGAGCTCAGTCTGGAGAAAAAGAGGCTCAGGGGGGACCTTCTCACTCTCTGGAACTCCCTGACAGGAGGGGGGAGCCGGGGGGAGTCAGGCTCTGCTCCCAGGGAACAAGGGACAGGGTGAGAGGAAACGGCCTCAAGTTGTGCCAGGGGAGGTTTAGTTTGGATATTAGGGAAAATTTCTTCACTAAAAGGGTGGTCAGGCACTGGCACAGCTGCCCAGGGCACTGTTGGAGTCCCCATCCCTGGAGGAATTTAAAAATGTGTGGATGTGGCACTTGGGGACATGGGCTATGGGTGGCCTTGGCAGTGCTGGGGGAATGGTGGGACTCAATGATCTTAGGGGGCTTTTCCAACCTCAGTGATTCCATGATTCTGAGTGCTTCCTGACAGCTCAGAGTCAGAGCATTAATAAACTGCCACATGTCTCTTGGTACCTTTGTGCTCCTGGACTTGTTGTCAAGGCAGCCTGGGCAGAGCCTCCAGGGCTCCCTTTGGCACCAAGCTCACAGCAAATTCCCTCTACACAGCCTCGTGTGAAAGAACCACGTAGGCAGTGAGGTGCCAGGATGGGATGGGAGGAAGCAGCAGCTCCTACCAGATTCCTGGAGATGGTGGCCCTGGCCAGACACTCCCCAGTCTCTGTGTCCCACTTGCACACGGTGTTGTCTCGTGAGCCCGTGCACAGCTGGGAGGCATCTGCAACCACAAGGGAACAGCAAACCCAAGTCAAGCAGTGTTGTCAGTGAATCCCTGGGGACTGGGGGTGTGCTGTCCCTCACCTGGGCTCACAGCCAGCCCAGTCACAACCAGCTCATGTCCTGGGAAGTGCTGGCTTGGCCCCGACGCCCCGTGAAGCTCCCACATCATCACTGTCTTGTCCCGGGATGCACTGAAGACTCTGCTGGAGTCAAGGGCAGAGGTGACCTGCCAAGGACAAGAGGGAGAAGCTGGTTATCCTCCCAGCCAGCCCAGCTCTGCTCAGGGAGAACATGACATTTGCTGTCCTGTCACAGCCCAAAACACGCAGGAATGTGCCTGGGGAGAGCCTGACCTTCAAACTCTGACCTTCTCAAACCATGACACCCATGTCCCCCCAGAGCCAGGGATGGTGGATGGGTGCTCTCTTGGTCTCACAAACCATTCATTCTATAGGAAAAGCTTCCTTACAAACCCAAATGAGCCCAGTGCTTGGCTGCCTCGAGCACTGGGGTGAATGAAGCCTCCTCTGTCCCTCCAGTACCCCAACCCAAGGGGACCCCCTGGGGCTGTCCCTGGTCGAGGTGCACACACATACACACCCCTGGATGTCTGCTCTCTGAGGAGAGTGCTGGGCTTTGTCATCATAGTCCCAGAAGGGAAATTAAAGCCCTGCTGTTCCCAGGATTGGTTGGCTGTGGAATAACAAGTCCAGCAGAATGAGACCCAAAGAAAAGTGAACAGTGTCTCCAAATCAAAAACTTGATCCCATAATTCATCCTTAACCTTTGCTACACAGTCTGCTGGAGGGGAAGACAGGCCTCCTGCAGCCCTGTTTAGTCTGGATGCACTTCTCCTTGCTGCTTCCCTGGAGAGCAGAGGATCAGCTGGGACCACGGGAAAGACCTGATCAGGGAATCATGAATTGTTAAGGTTGGAAAAGACCTTTAAGGTCATCAAATCTGATTGTCCCCAGTTAGATACCAGGGATACTCTGGTCCCTCTTTCTAGTGGAGCAAAGGGGGCCCTGTGATGCCAAAGCAGTGCTCCATTATCCCTGGCACCCCCGGAATGCTGACAGGAGACCCCGGCGCTCTCACCTTGGTGACCTCCCGCTCGTGGCCGACGAAGCGCCGCAGGGCAGCCCCGGATCTCCAGCTGCACACAGCCACACTCTGCAGGGACAGGGCAGGGTCAGCAGGGACACAGGGCAGGGAGGCTTTCACACTGTGCACAGCCCACAGGGGAGGGAACAGGTTCCTCTGCTTTTGAGCTCCTGCAGCAGATACAGCTGTCTGTAGAGCCAGGTAAGGGCCAGTGCTTCCAAGCCTGGGTGAGACCACTTGATGTGATCTGAGCTCAGGAAAGGTTACAAAATTTGATTCCGTGTGCTTCAGTGTGTGCCCTCACTCCAAGCTCATCTTTTCTTTCTAAATTCAGGGACTGACAAAGTTGTTACTCTCCCAGAATGTTCACAGAACAGTTGAACACTTCAAGGAAATGTTCAAAGCTCACATTTAAAGCTTATTTTCAAACCTGTTGACATGTTTTCCGTCCCGTGGGCCATGGCAGGGGGTACCTCACCTTATCCCTGCCCCCTGACACACACAGGTCTGGTTTGAGAGCAGCCACAGAGGTGACAGCGTCGGTGTGAGCGGGGCTGTGCTGCCGGGAGGTGCCGATGGATCCCATCTGTGCCACGATGGATCCCGTCTGTCCCACGGAGCCATCGGCCCTGCAGCACGGACAGACAGGGTGGGAGCTGCAGGGCATGTGAGACAAGGTCAAGGTGCCATTCCCGTGACACCAGGTCTGGGAGGTGGCACTGCTGACACCATCTGATGCGACAACCCCTGCCTTAGACAGCCTGAGAGAGGCTGTGAGCGAACCAGGTGAGATGGAACAGACCTACCCCACCTCCAGAGCTGCCAAATATTGGTATGTTTGCTCACTCTGTGCTGGTGCAAAGAGTAAAAGAGATTTTGATCTCACCAGCCCCCACTGTCACTCACATGGGTCAGACTCAGCTGCTCTTTGCTGTGACACCTCCCTGGCCACACAGTGCCCCCCAGCTCTGTGCCCCCCTCCATGCTCTCAGCTGCTCTCCAGGCAGAGATTCCCCCCCTTGCTGCCAGACACAGAATTATCTCACCTTGCCAACAAAAGCAATGACAGTCTCTGAAGAGACAGCAAAGCAGTTTGGATATTTGGGCCAAAGAGCCACTCCTGGAGCTGTTCCCCTTCAGAGCTCTGCCTCAGCCATCACAGGGCATGGCCACTCCTGTGAGTGACACCTGGGACTTCAGCCCCCCAAAGAAGCTGAGCAGACTTTTTTCAAAAGTGAAAACTCGATTCACACATTCAGTAATGAAACTGAAACCACGTGCTTGCTCTGTTCTCTGGTCATTTGTGTTCTCTGTTCACTCTCCCACCTGGTTTGTTAACAAGACATGATCACCCAGCGTTGCTTTACCCGTATTTGGTGGTGTGGAAGCTGAGTTTACTCTGCAGTTTCCCCATAGCCCTCCAATAAGCAGGGCTCCCCCACGGGGTGTCACATCAGCACCTCAGGCACCTGCTGCAGGGACACGACCTGTGGGTGAGGGGACACAGCATCACCAGGGATCCAGAGGGGTTTCTGCCTCTTACATATACAGGGTAAGGTGCTGGTAACACATTATTTACATCCCAACGTCATTTAGAATAACAGGAAAACCTCAGTGGAGGGGATATCAGGAGATCCTGAGCCAAATCTTTGGCTTAGAGCAGAGCCAGCAGCAGGGTGAGGTTATTGGAACCTCATGCTGAGCTTAAAAACACCCAGGCTTGGTGAGGCCACACCAGAGAAGGAGTTGCTGCCTGTTGTTCTTCTAGTGCTTTACACTTTCCTCTTACTCCAGTATCTGGTCTTGACTTCCATATATCCAGGTGAGGAGCCTCTGGCAGAGCAGGGCTCAGCATCTCTCCCTCATGTCCTCACAGGTCACAGACTGAGCACAAACCAGTCTCAGTGACAGTGAATTGTCACAGACAATAACTGGCTGCTGCTTAGCTCAAGGCACACTAATTGGATTTGCCCTGCACTATGTGTATGTTGGCATTCCCATCTTCTGGGGCTGTAGTACTTAGCTAATAAAATTCAGGAAAATCCCCCCACACCTTTTCCAGCAATGAAAAAATCTGCTTGAAGGTTCTGCCCACAGAAACTGGAAACCCAAATCCTGGACGCACTGAGCAAGAGGGGCTGGGTTTCTACAAAACAATTCCCTTTCTAATTTTACCCTGACAGCCCTTGTGATTAGCAATTAGTAATACCCAGTTAATCACCACCTGCTCTATCTATGAGTTTGCATGTCCCAAAGATGTGAGGAATGATCAATCTCATGGCTGAGGGGCCGTGACAATTTGGCAATTTACTCCTTTCAGTCAGACCCTGATCGTTTCAGTACGTGAGGAACATGATTTTTCTTTGACAAGAGAGAAGTCTGGACGTTGCTTCTCCTGCAAAACAAGATTCTAGGAAAAGCCAAGATGTAAATTCTGATTTTTAATTACGATGTTCCTTGTCTTCCAGTTAGTTTCCCCACTCCTGTGGTTAATGCAGTCCCTACCTGCACATAAACTCCGAGGGAGGACACAAAGAAGCTGTTGGTGGCCCCAGGAGGCTGCAGGGAAGGTGGGAGTTCTGTCCTGTGTCTCACTGGGCTCTCCTGCCTCTTCCCCACTGCAAGAAAGACCATCTTCTGAACCCTGAGTGAGAGCAGTTCTCAGGCAGGATGTTCATCCAAGGTTTTGCTGTCTGCATCCCAACACGTTTATCATCCACCTGCTCCATCACAAAGCTCCAATAACACAGGGATCCAGCAGCAACTGGACATGAAATGTCACCTCCAGCAGACTGAGTTTCACGCTAGAGGATCTTCTTATGCTCCCTTCTGCCTTAAATGTATCACTTGACAGAAATCAAACACATTTTTTACTAAATGGCTTTAAAAAAATAACCCACACTACTGCCTCCACCTGTCCAGGCTCTGCCGTGAAACCCTTACCATGGATAGGGAATGACAACAGCCACAGCAGTGGGCACGGGGACCTCAGCAGAGCTCCCCCCATCCTTATCACCCCTCGAGGAGGGTGTTTGACCATCTTTGTGGAGGATGGGATGACACCCTGGCCCCTAGAGCTGGGGGTGACCCTGTGAGAGCGATGCAGGTCCCTGTGCTGGGAGTGTCCCCACGGGGGATCGCTGGGGGCGTCCTGGGTCCCTGTGGATGGGGTGGCCCTGTGGGGGTCAATGGGGCCATCCTGGGTCCCTGTGGATGGGGTGGCCCTGTGGGGCTCAATGGGGCCATCCTGGCTCCCTGTGATGGGGGTGGCCCTGTGGGGTGTCAGTGGGGTCATCACACGTCCCCAGGGATGGGGGTGGCCCTGTGGGGGTCAGTGGGGCCATCTTCGCTCCTTGTGATGAGGGTGACCCCCTGGGCGGTCACTGGGGACATTCCAGGTCCCTGTGATGAGGGTGGCCCTGTGGGGTGTCAGTGGGGGCATGCCGGGTCCCTGCGCTGGGGCAGCCCCACAGATGCCTTATGGGGCAGCCTGGCAGGAGCAAGGCGGGCGCAGCCCCGGGAAGGGTTTGGGAACAATCCGTGTCCCTGTGGCTGGGGCAGCCCCGCGGCCCAGCCCGGGACCCCTCTGCGCACTCACCGTGTCCGGAGCAGCCTCGTCCCGCCGTGTCCCTCCCCGGGGCCGGTCCCGCCGTGTCCTTCCTGATCCCGGTCCCGCTGTGTCCCTCCCGATCCCGGTCCCGCCGTGTCCTTCCCGATCCCGGTCCCGCCGTGTCCCTCCCCGGGCCGGTCCCGCCGTGTCCTTCCTGATCCCGGACCCGCCGTGTCCCTCCCGGTCCCGGACCCACCGTGTCCCGCCCGGTCCCGGTCCCGCCGTGTCCCTCCCGATCCCGGTCCCGCCGTGTCCCGCCCGGTCCCGGTCCCGCCGTGTCCCGCCCGGTCCCGGTCCCGCCGTGTCCCGCCCGGTCCCGGTCCCGCCGTGTCCCGCCCGGGGCGGGGCCGAGCCGAGCTCGTCCGGGCGGCGCCGCCGCCCCCGCGGCAGGTGCGAGCACAGCATGGCCCGGCGGGGCGGGCCGGAGCGGCTGCGGGTGAGCGGGGGGACCTGGCCCGACCTAACCCCGGCCCCAACCTCGACCCCGACTCCAACTCTGACCCTGACTCTGATCCCGGCCTCGGCCCCGACCCCGACCCTGATCCCGGCCCGGGGCTCGCCGGCGGCTGAGGGGAGCCCGGGGCCGGGCGGGGCGGGGAGAGGGGCCGCGTGTGGGACTGGGGAGTGCCGGCGGGGCGTGAGGGTTCCTGAGGGGGGAGCGGGAGTCCCTGGGAGGGTATGGGGGTCTTGGACGGGCTGTGGGTCCGTGAGGGAGTGGGGGGTTCCTGGGGGGTGTGGGGCCTCAGAGATCCCTGCAAGGGTGTGGGGATCCCGGATGGGGTGTGGGGTCCTGGGGGGTGTGTGGCATCCTGGGGGTCTCTGGGGGCGTGTGGGGGTCCTGGACGGGATATGGGTCCGTGGGGCAGTGTGGGGGTCCCTGGAGAGAGTGGGACCCTGGGGGTCCTTGGTGAGCTGTGGGAGACCTAGGGGGGGTTTTGGGGCCCTGGAGGGGTGTGGGGCTGCAGGGACCCCTGACCGAGTGTGGGGGTGCCAGACGGGACTGGTGGGATGTGGAGGGGACATGGGACCCTGGGGGTCCTTGGTGGGTGCCTGGGGGTCCCAGACAAGGTATGGGGGTGCCTGGGGGTCCTTGGGCAGGTGTGGGACCCTGCGGGTCCTTGGCGGGGTGTGGGGGACCCTGGTGCGGTGTGAGGCCATGGGAGGGGTCTCCTGTGGGGAGGGGAAGGCTCCCTGTGGGGCTGTGTTGGAGGTCCCCTGTGGGGAAGGGGCTCACTTTGGGGTGGTGCAGGAGGACCCTGACAGCTGTGGGGCTGGGTGGGGTCAGGCTGGTGGGGGACTCGGGGTGCTGTGGCCCTGTCCAGGCCCGTGTCCATCACCTGCTGTTCCGTGTCCCAGGACGAGCTCGTGGACCGGTGCGAGCGGCTCCAGCTGCAGAGCGCGGCCATCGCCCGGCACGTGGATGAGGTGCTGCCTGCCAAGGACCAGGCTGTCTGGTGAGTCCCTGCCCCTGCCAAGGACCAGGCTGTCCTGGTGAGTCCCTGCCCCTGCCAAGGACCAGGCTGTCCTGGTGAGTCCCTGCCCCTGCCAAGGACCAGGCTGTCCTGGTAAGTCCCTGCCCCTCTCCCAGCACAGCTGGCCCCATGTGCTCCGTGCTCACCAGTCCCATTGGAGATGCTGAGCTCCAGGGGGCTCATCATTGTGCACGGGTTGTCCCTTCCTACCCCACAGCTGTGGAAGTGGAGTTCTAGGGTGTGCCTGCGATTGCTGCCTCGCCTGCCTAAAAAATGTACATGGACAGTATATTTCTTGGTGTCAGTGTATAGCAATCACTAGGACCAGTGTCTCAGCAGTTCCTGGTTTTGTTTGTTCCTTGCTGTCACTGAGGATGAGGGCAAAGGGCAGTTATAGAATCATAAAATCACAGAGTAGTTTGGGTTGGAAGGGCTTTAAAGACCATCTTGTTCCAAGCCCCTGCCATGGGCAGGGACACCTTCCACTATTCCAGGTTGCTCCAAGCCCTGTCCAACCTGGCCTTGGACACTTCCAGGGATGGGGTAGCCACAGCTTCTCTGGGCAACCTGTGCCAGGGCCTCACCACCCTCACAGGGGAGAATTCCTTCTCAGTATCTCATTTATCCCTGCCCTCTGGCAGTGGGAAGCCATTTCCCCTTGTCCTGTCCCTCCGGGCCCTTGTCCAAAACCCCTCTCCAGCTCTCTTGGAGCCTCTTTAGGCACTGGAAGGGGCTCTAAGGTTTTCCCAGAGCCTTCTCTTCTCCAGGCTGAGCAGTCCCAGCTCTGTCAGGCTGTTCTCATGTCTCACCAGTAGTGAATCCATGGAGATCTGCTGAGGGACAGGACTCTGGTCCTTCACAGGTTGTCACAGTTAGGCCAGGAGGCTGTAGGTGGGTTTGGGACTGGTTGTCCCATTTACCTGCACTTGTATCGTGACAGTTGCTGTGGCCTGGGCTCAGTTAACAGAGTAATGTTGATGGCTGAGCCCACAGGGAGCCGGCAGGAGCAGCTGGGGCTCTTGCTGGGGCTGCAGCCAGGCTGATGTTGCTGCTGTCCCTGTCCCTGCTCTGGCAGAACGCGGCCAGCGCGGCGCGGGAGCTGGTGATCCAGAGGCTGCTCTTCGTGGGCAAGGCCTGCGAGAACGAGGAGCAGCGGCTGCTGGAGAGGGTGCACGCGGAGGAGGAGAGGGCACACCAGAGCATCCTGACCCAGCAGGTGCACTGGACAGAGGCTCTGCAGAAGCTGGGAGCCCTCCGGACCTACCTGGTGGACATGATCACCAACCTGGATGACCAGGGCCTGCTGGTGAGAACTGCTCCATGTTCTGAGGGATGGGTCAGTCAGCCCAGAGGTCACCTGGACCTCTTACCATGGGACTTAAACATGGTGTTCAGCAACTGCTGTGCTGACAGCAAGGAGGCAGAGCTGGACAGGACCTACATCTGCAGGTCTAGCTCAGGGAACCTCCTTGACCTGGTCCTGACAAGCCCCTGTGGTTTCTCAGTGGTTCCCAGAGCACCTGCTCTTGCTTGCAGTGAGGTCCAGAACCACCCACGCTCAGGTGTCCAAGTTCCTGGCTTATAGCTGCCCTTAGGCCAGACAGCCAGGACAGCTGTGGGCTGAGAGCTGCTCTAACAGCAATTCATTGTGCCACCAGTTTTCAACTGTTGTGTGTAGTTTGAATCAAAACCGCTTTGGGAGCACCTGCATCTCTTCTGGAAAGTCCTCCCTGTCATCTGGCACAGCTCTATTTGGGATATTTGCTGTGCAGAGCAGCCTGTGCTTCCTCTCCCTCAGTTCCTTCTCTGGTTATTGAGTGGTCTGGGTTTACCCAAGTGACTCCTCTCAGTTTGGAAGGGAGCAGGTTGGTCTTCCACCACCATGCTCAGCCTCTGCTTCCCACATGGAAGTTTCTGGGAAAAAGGGCAGCAGCTCTGCTTGGGAAACAGACCCGACCCCATAGAGAGAGGGCAGATGTTCCTTTGGTAGGAAAAGCAGAGTCTGTCCTGCCCCAGCACCTCTGCTGGGCTGTGGCTGCACCATGGAGAGTAGAGGCTGGAGAGCAGGACCCATCGGCTGCCTGTGCCAGAGAAAGCCAGACCCTTTTGCCACATGGTGGAGGGGAATTAGGGACCATGTGTTCTCCACTTGGATTGCTGGTGTTGGTACTTGTGTCTATCAGGAATCAGCACGTGCCATGCCACAGGCCTGCAGCTTGCCCTGCAGCTTGGATTTGACCAGGGATCAGATATTTTCCTACCACTTTACTGTATCTGGAGAATGCTCGTGACCAGCAGGAACAGAAACAAGTGGGACCAACCACCTGACTCTTGACTTAGTTCCTCTGCCACCACCCCCCTTGCTGAAAGCCCTGGGGTTGTTTTCTGGAAGCACAGGCTGTTCCTGCGGCATTCCCTAGCGGAGTGGGAGCAGAGGGAGGGCAGCAGACAGTGCCCCAGCTGTAGAGGATGTATTGCCCTCAGCCATTCCCACTCATTTTCTGAGTTGAGGGGTGGGAAGTGCTGCAGCTAAGGAAAATGGATGTTGGATGCTCCCCCTGCTCCCCAGGGTTGCTGTTGGGGTGAGGGGTGGTTTCTCTGGATCAGGAAGGAAAACACTGCTCCTGGGTCCTGGGTTTGCTGTGCCCCAGCCTGTGTTTGGGATCTGTGGGCATTTCAGCTCTGGTGACTCCTTCTTTCCTTGTCCCCAGCGTGCAGAACGAGAGATCTTCGAGAGGTCAGTGCCTGGCTGCTCCTGCTCCTGCTCCTTTCCCTGACCCTGCTCCAGGCTCCCCTGCCTCCCTGCAGCTCCTGTGCAGTGCCATGGCTCAGGCACCCGGGACACCTCTGTCCTCCCTCTACTCTTCTGTTGGGGACAAGGACACAGCACAGAGATGCCACTCTCATCTCTGCTCCGGAGCAGCCTGGCCCCTGGAGATGCTCCATGTGCAGTGCCAGAGCAGCAGCCCTTGTTTACAGGAGAACTTCTCCAGCTCCTTAGAGCACTCCCCGGGGCTTGCTGGGGGTTGGAGCAGGCCTGTCCCTGCTGTTGGCAGGAGGTGGGATGGTCCTGGTGGGAAGCTGGGGTGGCTGGCACAGCCTCAGTGTCCCCAACAGCACCGTGGGTGACGCTGGGCTGCCCTTCCCTGAAGAGGCACCTTGGGGGCTGGGTTTTCACAGCCTTTTGTCTCCCTGGCTCCTGTGGGGGTGCTGGCCCTGTGCTGCCCAGAGGGCTGGTGGGGTATTTGTGCCTGTAGAGAGTACAGAATGTGCCACAGCATGTCAACACCAGCCTGTGCCACAGCCTTTCCTCACAACCACGAGTTGTGTGGGTGCTGCAGGCCACAGGAACAGCAAACCGTCTGTGTCTTGCTGTGCTGGGTGAAACCCGGCTCCTGCCACACCCCCTGGGCTCCAACTGTTATAAAGAGGGAAATCTGAGTCTCTCACTGTTCATTGGGCTCCCTTTGTACCTTGATGGCCGCTCTCAGACACATTTATTTACCCTGTGTCTGCTGAGTGAGGAGCTGTTGATTCAGGCTGCTGGGATGTGTTTTACAACACTGCAGTCCTTTCACAAGGGACTGTAAGCAAAGCCAACCGAAAGTATCACTTAAAGTATGGTTTAGGGCGAGAGCTGGCTCAGAAACCCCCTCTGGGGTCACTCTGCAGCCAGAGCTCCTCTTTAACCTCTGCCATACCTCCTAAGTGATCTTTATAAACACCTCCCAGCACAACAAATCTTTGTATTTTGAAATTACTCTTGTTTTCCTTTGCTAGGACAGA